AACCTTCAAACCCAAAAGAGCAACACCATGTAGAAATGAATTTGAAAATTTTTGTAAGGAGAGCTTAGCCCCAAAAGAAAAACAGCACCCATCCATCAAGATGCAAGACTTGCAAACTCAGTTAACATGTATGAAAAGCAGCCAGTCCCACTGCCTTCGCAGAGTCGCCCATGATCTACCCCACAGTACACTTTCCCATATTTCTAATATGTGTCAGTGTTGGTTTTTGATTTTGCTTTATTGGGGAGGATATTTTTTGAAGTTTTTTTCCCCACTGTGTTTAAATTGCCTGCTTATTTTTTACAATCCACTACTCTAAGTAGCTCATTATTGCACCATTACCAATCCCAGAGGCATGGATGACGTGACCACTCTTAGGGAGCTGTCTTCGCCTGACGTACAGCTTTGCAAATCTGATTCCACGAAAGCTGGCTTTGCGTGTGAGCATTGTGCCTGTGCGTAAAGAAGTTGAAACTTCCTCAATATACACAAAGACATCCCTCTCATACATCTGCATTTGCGTGACATAAAATTTCTCAAGATCCCCCTCTGGGTGACTGTTGTGTGTTGGTGAGCCATGGTGGTTTTGATCAATCTTGTGGAAAGACTTAGGTGTCCCTCATGGTATCACAGGTGCCCAGTGACAAATCTGGGTGGCCAACCACAGTGACATACATCTCTACATTTCACTTCTTGACCTATTTCTTTATGAGCGTGATTCATCTGCGTACAGCCCTTATGTCCACATGACTGTCATTAGCACAGCTGAGTGATGATGCTGGAAAGATATGTGTGCTAATATCGCCTGTTTTATTGTGCAAAGTGGCCCAGGAGCTGTAATCCTGTTTCTAGGTTTCTAAAATCAATTCCTTTTTTGAATGTTAAGTTAAATAACTTTTAAAGATTTTTTTCCCAGAATTAATATTTGAGATCTTAGACTTCAAGTACTTTGATTTTTCAGGGATTCTGACATCCAAGATTGTCTTTTTTTGCGTTAAGTCTCAATTCCAGAAAGAATCTAGTCTTCCAAAAACTTCCTTCCTGAGCTAGTTTTCTGCTGTGGATCTTTGAGCGGGTCTCTGTCACTTCCTATGGAGCTGGGCACCTCTCATCCTGGTATTTTCACAGAATGAGCTTCAATACCAGAATTTCAGACATGGTATAGGCCAGGCCGTCTGCCATCCACCCAACACAGAAGCATTTTCAACGGGTGGGCAGTTCCGGTCAGGGGCTGGTGACCGTTTCTCTTCCCTTGGACTATTTTCCTGCTGACCACCTGTTCCACACCGAGTTTAACCCCTCTGAAATGTGTCAGCCTGCAGAGGGAGCTGGGAAGCCTGTGGATATGGACATGACATGGTGAACTTGGAATCCTCAAGGGCACTGGGTCAGGACACCAAGGGCTGATGGATCCAGCCCCTCAGGAATGTAGCCGAGCCTGTCTTTCTCAGCATTCAACAAAAGGCGCCACCACTAAAGGAGGACAGACAAAATCTAGAGCAGGCACGGTGCCCCTGAAGAAGGAAAGGAAGAAGGAATGGGATTTATCATTAACTTCAAAGCAGGTTTATCAGGATGTGCAAAATTTATGATGGATCAAATATCCGCACTATTTAATCTGTAGGATAAAAGAGTAATAGTAACTCTCCAGCTTCACATTTTGTACCCTTTGGAATCCAAAAGATCAAAATCACCAAGGAATTTCAGGAATCTTTCCATGAATTCAACTTCTGTTGAGTGCATGATGGAATACAGCCCCATGCGTGGACCCCTCTCCAAACACATGGAAACTCAGGCTGGAGAGAGCTCAAGCCAGCATTCCTTAGAATGTCAAGTGACAATTGTTCCTACCTTGCAGAAACAGCTCCAAGACTTGTCACCAATGAAGTCAAGTCTGGGCGAGATTTTCCACACCCCCACATCGCCCCGGCCTCACCAAAGCTGCAGGCCACCAGGTGATTCTGTCTCCATGTTCTCGACGCCTCTGCTAGCATTCACCTCACTGTTCCCTATCTAGTCAGCAGTCCCCAACCTTTTCGCCACCTGTGGCCAGTTCTGCAAGATCATTTTTCCTTGGACGGGGGTGGGATGGGGTTCAGGGTAACTCCAAGGGGCCGCAGCATGGGTCCTTCATGTGCAGAATTCACAGCAGGGTTTGCCCTCTTGTCACAAGTTAATGCTGGCGTGGAGATGATGGAGGCGGTGATGGGAACCATGGAAAGCAGCTGTAAGGGAGGATGACATTTTGCTCATTTGTTGTCACCTCCTGCTGGGTGGGCAGGGGCCACCGGATCGAGAATCCAGGTTGTGTGGGTCAAGGACAGAGGTGCACGCCACGTGTAAGCAAACACTCCAGTGCTTTTAGAAGCATCTCCCCTAGGAGCAAAACTGCATTTCTCTTGGATGGATGCAGGAGGGAGCAGCCTGATTCTGTTGTGGGCTTCCAGGTGTGCAGAGCCACCATGGGCAGTCTGACTCAGCAAGGACCCACTGTCTGCACGGCCTCTCAGGACAGGGAACTGGTTTCCACCCAAGAGGGCTCTTGCCCGTGCCTTTCAGTGAACAGAGTCGATATAAGAAATGCACTGAATTCAAAAAAGGATTCTCTTTCCCATCAGTCCCAGTGACGCGTGTCCTCCAAGTGACCAAATAGTCAGTGTTTCAAAATTCAAGGCCTGGGAAAGACTTGGCTGGGAAGGAAGAAGTCTGTCCTGGGCGATGTCCTACGGCTGAATGAGACCCTGCTGAAGGTCTCCTTAGCCCTATAGGACACACTGTCAGCAAAGTACAGGAATCCTTAGTGATTTATCTAGCTCGGAAAGATGCAAAGACTTGTTCAAGATCACTCTGGGAGTGGACAGCGTTCAACCTCATTTTACATGATCCAGACCTATTGCTGTGCCTTAGTCCATTTGGGCTGCTATGACAAAATATCTACAAAACAAGAGATTTAAATAAAGAGATTTTACGGAAGTGCATGAAGAAGGTACCAGTACGGCTGGTGTCGATGGCAGCTATGCACCTGGCTCACCGACGGCCACCTTCTTGCTGTGTCCTCCTATGACCACTCTTTGGTCCCACAGGGAAAAAGAGACACAGCCCTGACACCTCTCATTCTCTCCTTAAATAAATCCCATTGAAATAATAAATAAATAAATTCTATAATGTCTCTTTAACATATACGACATAATTTCATGGAATACACATAGATATTAAAATATTTACTATAACATTCAGTAAATTCAATAAATGAATTTGTGATGATAAAAATATTCAGTCCAAAAGGGAAATGAATGTGGCCATCATTTCATAGAGTTACCTATTGTGTTTTGTTGCTTTTATCCCAAGAACACCTAAGATCCACTTACTGAGCCTGACACTGCATGCAGGACCAAGGTGTCACCCACGGTTCCCATGTGGGAGTCCTAGTCTGTCTGTTTTCCTTCCCATCCAAGCTTCGTGCCTCCTGACCTCCCTTTCTCCATTTCTTCTTCTTCCTGACAATTACTGTTTTGTTCTCCATTTCTACATGTTTTGGTTTTTAAAAATATTGCACATATAAGTAAAGCATATTATTCTTTCTCTGTCTGGTTTATGCTACTCAGCATAGTGATCCCCAGGTTCATCCATGCTGTGGCAAACAATAAAATCTTTTTTGATGGATGATATCCCAATAGAGATATGCACCACAGTTTCCTTATCCATTTGTCCATCAATGGACACTTAAATTTTTTCCATATCTTGGCTATTGTGAAGGTTATTCACAATGGTACCCTTCATACGCAGACACTACAGGTTGATTAGGGACCTATGTCCATATTTTCATGTAACCTTAATTACCTGCTTAGAGGTGTGGATCTAAAAGATCTCCCAAGAGGCATGTGGTGGATTTACTAATGGTCCACTCGTAACACTCAGCTGAACGGAGTCAGCATGGTGCTGGGTGTGGAAGGCCCGCCTGAGGATGGCTGCCAGCAGCTTAAAAGGAGGATTGGAGGGGAAGAGGGTGCTGTTGATTCTCCTGGAGAAGCTTGTCACGCTGGCTTTCCTGACAGGAACTCAGTTGTTCTCATCATTGGAGGAGCTCGGGTCCTCGCTCTCGCTGAGGAGGCTGTGGTACTTTGGGGGAGCTCTGGTCCTTACCTGGAGCATCACTTCCTGGCTTCAGTGCATACCCTCAGCCTGTTGGCACAGCTCCTTCATCCCTCTGGTGCAGACTTTCTAGCTTCCACCACTGACCTTTGGGCCCTCCCAGGGTAGATCCATGAAACAGACTTGCCTGAGACATAGTCATGGGCTCCGGGCCCTCAGCTGGATTCTTGGGATCTCTAATGTGACGACAGATTTCCTGTGTTCTTTGGTATTTGACTCTGGGTGAATGTTATAAAAGAATCCTATAAATTATGTGTCCGGTATTAAATCTTTTCCCTTGCAAATCCCGACTACAATAAGGTGCCTGTGTTAAGAGGTGAGGTGTTTGGATGGTGACTGGGAGCCTCACCTATGGATCAATGCATTGATGGATTTAGTGTTTGATGGCATTACTGGGGGGCAACAGAAACTTAAGAGATGGGACTGAGATGAAGGGCCTGGGTCATGGAAGCATGCTCTTGGGGACGTGCACCCTTCCTCTTCTTTTCTGGCTCTTTCCATCTCTGTCTCCTTCCAACCAGCCATGAGGTGAGCAGATTTCTCTGCCATTCCTTCCACCGTGATGCCTGTGCCTCACCTCTAAGCAATGCAGCCTGCTGACTGTGGACTGAGACACCCAAAGCCATTTGCCAAAGAAAACCTTCCTCCTTTAAGCTGCCTTTGTCAGGCATTTTGCCACAGTGGCAGAAGCTAACAGTGCCCCCTCACACACCTCTAAACACAAAACCCATTCAAGATTTCAATAAATGAATTTGTGATGATAAAAATATTCAGTCCAAACATGATCTTTCTCCCACATTATGCTACCTCTTTACACCAATTAGAAAAAAGGTCATATTAACACTTTCAATATTTTCAATCACAACATCCTAAGCTTTTTCATCCTTGTGCAGGGGCCATGCTAATCTTCTTGGTATTGTTCCTATTTTAGTACATGGGCTGCCAAAACACCCCCAGTTTTTTATTAGACTTTTTCTTCCTTATTTATGAAAGACAGACAACAGAAACAATCGAAAAACAAGAACACCTATTAACAAGATAAACCCACTGCTTTCCTTGATAATTTCCTCAAACCTCTGGATAATAAAAGCTGTCTTTTAATTCCCTGTTGGTTGTAGAGATTACCGATGTTTGCTCCCAGCCTGGCACTGTACCTAGTGCCAGGTACTTGAGCGGAGAGTCTTCGTTCTAGAGTGAGCATCAGGACAGGATGGGGACAAGTGTATTTGGAAGAACAGCCTGGTATTTAGCTTTGTGGGTACGGGTCGGTAACAAGCTGGGCCCGGCCAACCAGCAAATCTGGAGCTCACCCCGAGCACAGAACAGAAATCATTGTTCTGAGTTTTATCGTGCTCACAGAGGGAACTTTGAAATGTTGTGGGGTGGGGGACTTGGCAGCTCCTAGGACTCACAGGGAGGCCCAGCCTGGGTGCTATGCATGGGGCGGGAGAGCCAGGAAGCAGCTGCTGGTGCTCATGCTGGGCCCAGAGCTGTCCGCACTCCTGCACTGCTCACAGAGCCTCGTCTGGGCTCTGGCTAGGGGTCCCCTTCCTCCAGAAGGTTCTCTAAGGATGCTGAGCAAGGACATCGTAACAGCAGTGCCTTCATGCTTTTGTTCCACTCCCCGTCCTTAACAGAGGAGGTGACGACTCCAGGAGAAGTTCCAGAATGCTCCTCCAGAGCAGTGCCCCCAATCATTTGGCACCAGAGACAAGTTTCACGGAAGATAGTTTTCACCAGCCATGGGTGGGAGTGTTAGGGGATGACTCAAAAGAACCCTCAACCCAGACCCCCCAATGTGCAGTTTACAGCAGGATGCAAAGTTCACGCTCAGGAGAATCACGTGAGGCTGGTGATAGGAATGAGCTGTAAATACGGACAGAGCTTCACTCCCTTGCCTGTCACCCCTGCCGTGCAGCCCCTGGCTGATTGTTTTCAAGACAGTGTTTTCAAAATCTGCACAGTAGGCACAGCACGTTTGCCTGAGGCTTTTAACAGGCCCCCTGCAAGGCACCCCATTGTAGATTAGTGCCCTGCAACACTGAGCAGAAAGACATAGTCTCCTGGACCCAAAGTCAGATGACCTCTGGACAAGGGAACTTCACACAAGTCGGGGTGTCTCCCTGCAAGGGCAGCCCTCTAGGAAGCAGATGTGCTGTGCCTGAGTTCAGCACTGCCCTAACTGGGCAACTCACGCCCGCCCCGGATTTGTGCCAGGGTGATGGGGCCACATGTTCCTGGAGGGGGGGTCTGACTAGGAGCTCTGGGGTAGGGTGGGAGTGGGGGAGAGGGAGAAGGAGTAATGTGCAACTAGCGATCAGTGCACACTGTCTAAGCATAAAGCAAACAGCCAGGGTGGGAAGCAAGACCTGTCCTGAGTTTGCACGACCATGAGAGACAGTGGCGCTGCATGTAAAATGCCCAGAAGAGGCAAATCTATCATCAGAAGGCAGATGAACAGAAGCCCCGACTGCCCTGCCTGGCGCATCAGCTGAGAGCCAGCCGGTCAGTGCAGTGAGGCCTGCACCAGGCTCACCACTTTCTTCTGTGCCCATGAAGTCACCTCCCCAGAGCAGCTCTGTCATCACGACTCCATGGCTTGCTCATTAGCAAGGGTGACTAATGCCTGGGCCCCAAAGCTGACTTTCCCCGAACCGCCAGTATGGGTGACAAGGTGTGACTTCGCCTGCCAACGGGGACATAGGCAAGTGGCCACGAAGTCTTTGAGAGCCTTGATTCACAGCTGAGAGTGATGACTGAACACCTCCACCAAGGCTGTCCAGACAGCGCTGGGGGCCAGGAATGAACACTCTTCCCAAGTGTACAGGTCCACTGAGTCTCCACATCCCCCGGGTCAGGTGGAGGCAGGAGAACCGAGAGCAGATCCACCCTCTCTCTTCAAGACCAGTGGTTTTTTCTGTTTCACAGGAAAAACATCACTGCTCCTTCCCTTTATCAGTGAAATTCACAGCATCACAATTAGACCTTAGCATTATCCTTACCATTGGCATCAGCCTGTTTTCCCAGCAAAGCAGAACCTGTGATGCAGATTCTCATACACACACACACACACACACACACACACACACACACACACACACACAATCAGGGGTTATCAACATACACAGTGAATGTTTAATGCTAAAAATATTTATTGCAACAGAAGACACATTGCTACTAATCCCCCTCAAAATGCAGCAGTATCTCGCTTCCTGGACCCTTTTGCATGGAAACAATTTGGCTCACAAACAGAAGTGTTTGGCAGAATTTTGTTTCCATTTGCAAACTCCACATCAGGTGACAAAGGTGACGGTGGCCATCTTTCTCACATAGATGGCCATCTTTTCCCGAATCATGGAATGAATTAAGTTTATGAACCGAGGTCCCACTGTATCCATTCTTGCTTAGAACATACAGCCCTTCATTCATGCTTTCTGAAGCAGTTCTGGAGTCCTCTTTCCAGAATGTCTATGAGATGTGATAAAAAGAGATATATACTCCCAAGTGCCACCCAACAGACAGCAGGCTCCTCAAAGCGTGACACTGTGTTCTCATCCACCTTACCCACCAGGCAATGCCGTGTGACCTCTGGCTCCTTCTTCAAGTCAAAATTACCACGAAGGGTCAACATTTGAAATCCATTCAGGACACTGAAGCAGCCACTAAAGACACTCTAGAAAGAAGATTCCAAAGCTACTGCAGAAAGTGTCAAGAACAAGGGGTGCGTGAGTGGAGCAAAGAGGAAGATCCCCAGTCACCTCATAAATACGTGATTTTAGAAATATATTAAATTTATATACCAAATGTATGTTAAAATGATATGCATGCGTGTAAAGCTTGGAGTGATTCTGAGGAGACCCTGGCACGTGATCCTGTGGCCCTGCCAGTCTGAAGTCCACAGGGCAGTGGGGGCAACCTCAGGTGGGAGCTGACACCACCGTCTGCAGGTGGAGACCCCAGCCCTGAGCCTCCACCCCTCAGATGCAGCCCACCCAGTTCAGGAGACTCAACTCCGCTGGCAGCTACACAGTCCCTCCCCGCCACAGCCGGCCAGCCAGCTCTTTGCTGAACTGAGAATTAGCAACCTGAGGCCCGAAGGCCAAATCTGGCCTGCTGCCTGTTTTTGTAAATAAAGTTTTATTGAAACACGACCCCATCTGTTTCTTTATACTTAGTCTGCAGCTAACCTCAGGCTTTAATGGCAGAGCTGAGAAATTGCTCAGATCACCCTAGAGTCTAAATTACCTGCTGTACAGCTCTTTACGATAAAAGCTTGCCAATCTCGGGGTCCTGCAGCAGCCTCATCAATGAGAAAGTGCTTGTCCTCCTATCCTGGGGAGCCCCGGACAGGGAAGACTGCTCTCAGAGTCAGAGAGCTAAAGGGATGGAAGGCGTCAAGTGAGCAGCCATTGTGGGTTTCAGGGCTGCCCACAAGCCTTCCTCTACCTGCCTTTGAGACAATGGTTGTGGGCCTCAAGGCTGCCCATGAAACCTCCTCCACTCTGGCCTTTGGCAGGAGGAAGCCGCCCAAGAAGGCGCACGCGCTTCCTGCAGCAGACCCTGGGCAAAGCCTCAGATTGGCGTACACTACCAAAGTGTAACCTCCCTGCAGCATGGGGCTCGACAGGCTCAGATCCTTAACGACCTGTGGATCACAGTTTTTAAAAAAATGATACCACTAAACAGGAGGATTTCTCTCAAGAGCCTTGGGACTCAGGAAATCACGGCAGGACATGGAACACAGGGCTGTTTTGTGGCGCTCAAGGTCGGTGGAAGGGGGCATTATGTGTTCACACCACAGGAAAAGACCTCACGCAGTGGAGGAAGACAGGGAACAACTCTCTCCGCCCCGTCTTCAGGTGCCCAGGCTTCCGAGTGGGATGCAAGGCCAGGGCAGGTGAAAGTGGGATGCAAGGCCAGGGCAGGCGAAGTCCCTGCAGCCTGGTCCCACGGGCAGGGCTGTGTTCTCAGGAGGTGTCATCTCCCCCTTGGAAGGAGCGCTGCTGTCCACCTCCAGGGGTGGACAGTCAGAGCAAGCAGTGTCAGCTTCATGAGGTCCCACTTGTGGATAGGGCCATACTCACGAGGCCAGGCCTCAGAAGGGGCACTTGACCCCCTGCAGGCCAGAGAGATGGCCCCACATCCCCAGCTGTGAGTCTTCCCAGTCGGCCCACCTGAATCCCAGAGCCCCGAGGTGGAGACCCCACCACTCCCACAGGCTCACTTCTCAGGGCAGTGATGGCGCCCACCTTTCAGCCAACCAGGGGTGATTTCCCAGAATTTCCAGTGACCTACAGAGCCACGTGACCGTTTATCACGTGGATGCCAGCAGCTCCAAACCCTCACGCAAGGGAGTCTGGCAACATGACTGGGGGCGGGGAGGGAATGTTCCGCCTTCCCCATGCCCAAGGGAAACTAGAAACAATGCCTGCTTTCCCAGAAACTCAGAGCAGAGAGTCACGAGGCCCCAGAGAGCATTCTCATCAAAGACAGGCAAGACAATGACAATTTCCAGCAGGACGGGAGCTGAGAAATGACTGAGCGGGTACTCAGGGGCCTTGTCACTGTCTTAGCGGCTCTCTGCCCAGCTTCCAGTAATTTTATTATTGCTGTTGCTTTGATTTTTTTTTTTTAGACAACATCTTAGTGTGTTTTCAACAGTTGTCATGGAGAGTTGGCATTATAGGAACTTCCTGGGAAAACAATTACTTCAAAGGCTCACATTTCAAGACACTCACACACACGCACGCATGCACACACACATGCACACAGACTGCGAGAGAAAAAGGAAGCAATTTTGAAGATGAAAATATTGCGATGTAATCTATAAACTTGTTTCTTTCTTGGCACTGGTTTTGGTTTTCACCATCTGCCATCACCTACAAATTATCGGCTTTTATTATAATGTTATGATTATACGCGGACAGCAAATACAAAACTTTAGCAAATCAAC